GAGAGAGAGAGAGAGAGAGAGAGAGAGAGAGAGAGAGAGAGAGAGAGAGTGTCGCAGATTTATGCAAATATACATGTGTACCTCTAGGGAACTGGGTACTAGGGCTGGGAAAGGGTGGGGAGGAGAGAGACTAGATGATACTTAAGGAATTTCTTCCTACTAGTGACCTCGAATGTGGGGAACTGAGGGGGTTGGGGAATGGGGTAGCTGTCTAGAACCCAGCTGTCTAGAACCATCTCGGCTCCCAGGCTCAGCAGAGCCCCAGCCCAAGAAGGGGAAAGAGGAGGGGCGGGGTTGTGGGGTAAAGGGGCGGAGCCAATGCATTCTGTCCGCCCCTTCAAAACTCATAACCAATAGGAGCCAGGGGGCGGGTTCTAGGAGCCACACATCCCCATTCCCCTCTTCAGAGCCCGTTTCCCAGTGCCATCTCTGTCCTCGCCTTCCCAGCCACCCTCTCCAAGCGTCCGCCCCTTCAGTCCCCACCACCAGCACCCCGGGCCTAGTTCCCCCAGATTCCCAGGCCAAAGTCCTAGCCTCAGCTCCCTGGGATCATGGGGGATGGAGGGGAGGGCGAGGATGACGTCCAGTTTCTTCGAACTGTGAGTATCTCTGCCTCTGGGTTTTTTCTGGGTTTCTAAGTTTCTTCGGGTCTCCTCTTTACTCTGCCTCTAAGGATCTCTTTGGGTCTCTGGCTGTGAACACCTCTCGTTTTTCTCAGGATCTGTTTCCATGCGTCTCTGGCCCATCCCTCAGGTTCACTCTCAGTCTCTGTCTCTGTCACATCTTGGCACTTGTCTCTGCCTTTCTCTGGTTGGTTGTCTCTGTCTCTCTTGGTCTCTAAATATGTCTGGATCCCTGTCTGTCTAGGAGTATGACTTGGAGGTGAGATGTATATAGAGGAAAATCCCGTTGGCACTCCTGGATTTGGGGAGGGAGTAGTAATGCGAGGAAAGGAGTACTCTCCCCTCAGGCCTGGAAGAAAGGTGGTAACGTGGTGGCTGCTTTAGACTGGGACCACAGCTCTGCATTAATGCCAATTTCCCTGTCGGCTTAATTTAGCTTCCCCCCCACCGGCCTCATTCTCCAGCTCCTGGCTCTGACCCACTTAGAGTCCTGGGGTGAGGGGTGGAGAGGAGTCCTGGCTGGGGGAGCCTGGAGTTCTGATCGTCCTTGCTCCCAAGTTTCCCTCCCCCTCAGGAGAGACCCCGAGGGTCTCTGCTGAAGTCTGTCTCTATCTCTGCGTTCCTTGGTTTCTCTGACGCTGAGCCCCTAGTGCTCCCATCTCTGAATCTCCATCTCTCTGGCCCTCAGTTCCTTCCTCTGCCAAACAACGGGAATGGGCTGATGGGCTCGAAGGTCCCTTCCAGCTCTAACATGCCAATGAGTCTAGGCTCTGTCTTCTGAATCTCCTTCTGTCTTGGGGTTCTCTCCTGATCCCCGGCCTTCTGTCTCTGGGTCTCTCTCAATCTCTGCATGACAGAGCCTGGTCAGGCCAGGGCGAGGGTGGAGATGGGAATTTGGGGGAACAGGTGTGCTGCCCAGAATAGCTGGGGCTGCTGGTGGGGACGGGGGCAGGGAGCCAGGGGGGGAGAGGGAGGGGGAGGGGCGGACACTCCAAGGAGGATGAGAGTCGAGGTACCCCTGCCTCCTGCAAACCACCCCACTACTCCCACTCCCTGGAGACTGGCTTGAGTTTATTGGGGGTGAAGGTGTGTCTTCAATACATCCCTTTATACTTCCAGGCTGGAAGCCCTATCTCCGCTCTCTCCCCAGGGCTCATGAAAATGCTGACGAGGGCACCTTCTCAGCAGAAACCTAACCTTCCCTAAGCAGGAGAGGACGGGAGAAGGAAGGGTCCGATTTCTAGAGGGGGGAGCAGCTGGGGTGGGGGACTGGGCAGGAGAGGAGTCAGGCGCTGTTTAGGGGGAGGGTGGAAGGCTATGGGGTGAGGGACGGAGACAGCTGTGCATACCTGCCCCACCCCCCACCCCAGCAGGGCCTCGGCCCTCTCCAGAGCCCAAGCCCATTGGTACATTTCACAATCCCCGCTTTCCAGCAGTGGGCTCGGATTGGCCGGCCGGCCCAGCTGGGAAGCTTCTGATTGGTGAGTTTACAATCAGTCATAAAATCCTGCTAAACAGAATTGGGACCGGACCTTAAGAGGACTGAGTGATGTCTACCTGGGAGGGGTTTGAGAGACCTGAGAATCTAACCTCCCCAGCCAAAGACGATGGGGATGGAGCGTTCCGGGGCTTGGGTCCTAAATCTAATCCAGAACTGGAGGGAGACCTTAGTGGCCATCTGGTCCAACCCCCTCATTTTACAGAGGAGGAAACTGAGGCTTAGGTGGAATGACGTGTCCAAGGTCACAGTAGATAATAAGTGATAGAAGAGGGATTTGAACCCAGGTCTTCAGATTCCAAAGTGAGCGCTTATTCTACTGTACTAAGCCTTCCTTCCCATTCTGCAGCACCTCCCTGAGTGCCCCTCTTTCTGTCTTCTTGCTCAGCTCCAGACCCAGGCCACAGCTCTACTCCTGGCTCCAACCCACTTAAAATCCTGGACTGGGGCGAGGGAGAGGGGTAGTCCGGGCTGGGGGAGCCTGGAGGAGTTCCCACTGCTCTGGCCCAGCCAGTTCCTCCCCTCAGCACAAGCCCTAAGGGTCTCTGTTGAAGTCTGGAGAGCCCTGAGGTGATAGCCTCCTATTTGTTCTCCCTGCTTCCCATCTCCCCATTCCATGCAGTTCATGGCTGCCAGATGGTTGTTTCTAAAGCACAGGTCTGACCCTGCTCAAGATGTCACAATGGCTCCCTTTCTTGCTTGGACACTTAAAGCCCTTCACATTATGACTCCAATCTATCTTACTAGACTAATTTCACATTATTCCTCCTTATGCATTCTACATTCCAACCAACATGTTCTACCTGGTGTTCCTTGTCCCCGACACGCCATCTATCACCTGTTTGCTGTTGTCCCTGCCTGGGATTCCGTCTTCTCTCACCTCCGCCTGGTAGAATCCTTAGCTCTGCAGGAAGCCTTTCTTAAGCTCCCCCATGGTTAAAGCATTCCCCAGCACCAAAATATTTTGTGTTTAAAAGATCAAAGACTTGGACTAGAGGAACAGATCTAGGGCTAGAAAGGACCCACTACACTTTTTAGTCCAACCTCATTTAATGTCATTTAATTTTTTTTTTTAATTCATGAAAATCTATTTTCTCTTCCTCCTGCACTCTCCCATTGGAAAAGAAAAAAGGAAAACAAAACTCCGGTAATGAACAGCTGTAGTCAAGCAAGACAAATTCCACAACTTCAACTCTCTCCTTTCCAGATGAAGAAGCTAGGGCCTAGAGATGTGACCTGCCCCAGGTCTCACAGGCAATAAGGGTGGACGGTAGGATTTGAACCTAGGTTCTCTTTCTACTGAGTCTCCTCAGTAGAATGTGAGTTTCTTGAGGGCAGGGAGCCTTTTATATCTATATTTGTATCCCCAGTACCCAGTGCAGTCCCTGGCCTATAGCAGGTGCTAAGTAAAAGCTTTTAAAATGTAACTTAATTGAACTCTCATTTTACAAAGGAGAAAATTGAAGCCCAGAGAGGCTAAGGGATTTTCCCAAGGTCACACAGATCCTCTAACTGCACATCCCATGCTTTTGACCCTAAACCACTTATACAGAAGGAATGGGCTGCTTAGATAAAACCAGGCTGGCAGGTGGGGGTATCAGAGCTCGACTGGAGAGAGGAGTGTATGGCTTGGACAGATACCAGAGTCCAGGTTGAGATCGGATGTGAAAGGAATAAGAAGGGCCAGAATGTGGCCAATTTCCCTAGCAGGAATTATTGGTGACTAGTTATCATCTTCTCTTTCCCCAGGGGCTCAGGGTAAGAGGTTTGGGGAGGGTGTCTTAGAATGGCAGGTAGAAATTTCTACTTGAACAGGCAGAGGGGTCTTTGAATAGGAGATCCCTGAGTATAAGCTAGGTGGCATAGATAGAGCACCAGGCCTGGAGTCAGGATAGACCTGAGTTCAAATCCAGCCTCAGACACTCACTAGCTCTGTGACCCTGGACAAGTCACTTAACCCTGTTTGCCTCAGTTTCCTCATCTTTAAAATGAGCTGAAGAAGGAATCACTCCACTCCAGTATCTCTGCCAAGAGAACCCCAAAATGAGGTCATGAAGAGTCAGACACAACTAAAATGACTAAACAATATGCAGACTCAGGGTTTCAGGGTGAGAACAGAGTGTAGGATTTGGAGTTAGGAAGACCTGGGTTCAGATCCTACCTGAGTCATTTACTAGCTGTGAGATGGTGGTTACGGCTTTCCAATTTGGCCTTCAGTTTCCTCATCTGTAACTTGAGAGGTTAAACTTGAAAACTTCTAAGACTCCCTCTAGATCTAAATCTATGAGCTTACATCTCAAAGGGTGTATTGGGATACAGACTGGAGAAGTTGGGAGTTCAGTGGGAGGGTTAGGACTTTCAGGGAAGAGTTCTTAAGCTCTCAGTAGGTATGGGGTGGGGTGAGGTTCCTGACTGGGAGATGCCAGAAGGAAGTAAACCCCCAGGGAGCACATACTGTTCTGGGTTTTGTCTTTACCTCTCCTGTGCCTGGCACATAGTAGACACTTAATAAATGCTGATTGTTTATTGTTGATTGGGGTAGAAAGGCTTGGGACTTCACAGTTAGGATCTGGAGTCTCAAGGTGAAGGAAGAGTGATCCCTGAGGGAGGAAATCTTAGCCTGTGCCTCCCTCCCACACTTCCCAATCCACCCCCCAGGAGGATGAGGTCGTCCTGCAATGCAGCGCTACCACCCTCAAGGAACAGATCAAGCTCTGCCTGGCTGCAGAGGGCTTTGGAAACCGCCTCTGTTTCTTGGAGCCCACTAGCAATGCCCAGGTCAGTGGGCTTATGGGGTGGTATGGGTGGGGAGGGCAGCAGTAGGGGATGGGGGAGAAAGAGTTGGGAGAGGGAGCCCCCTTCAGTCATATCCTCTCCCCGTGGCCCTACCATGGGACTCAGGGGCTTCCTGGGACGAAACCCTGGGGCAGCCTGACAACCCTTCCCACTCCCCTCTCTGCCTCCCATGTTTCCCCCCAGAATGTGCCCCCTGACTTGGCTGTGTGCTGTTTTGTGCTGGAACAATCTCTCTCTGTGCGAGCTCTGCAGGAGATGTTGGCCAACACTGTGGAGGCTGGCACCGAGGTGAGCCCAGGGCCGGGGTCAGTGCCAGGAGGGGATGCTGAGGCATCATGTGAAAAGGGACAGTAGCATGGAGGCCTCTGGGAGTCTGAGGAAGAATCAAGATGAGAAAAGGCAGAAACCGGAAAGGGCATACTAGGGAGAGCTGGGAGGACAGACATAGGAGAGGAGATCCTGGAGGGAGCCAAGTGAAATGAAGATAGGATAGAAAAGGGGTGAGGACTTAGAGGTGGAAGGGACCAAGAAGCCCTTTCCAAAGTAAGCAGTCATCCAACCTTTGCCTGAAGACCTTCAAGGATGGGGAGCTCACTACCTCCCAGGGCAGCTCCATCCCACTTTCTCATTAGGAAGTTCTTCCTGACCCCAAGCCTAGATTGGCCCTCTGCAGCTTCCACCCATGGCTCCCTGTTCTGCCCTCTGGGGCAGAACAGAAGAAGTTTGATGCCCCCTTCACAAAGCACCCCCTCAAATACTTGAAGACAGCTCTCCTGTCCCCTCTGAGGCTTCTCTTCTCCATGCTAAGCACCCCAGTTCCTTCAGCTCATCCCCCTGTGACAGGACCTCAGGTCCTTTCCCCCTCCTGGGCGCTTCTCTATGACCACTCTCCAGCTTATCAAGGTCCTTCCTAACACAAGGCACCAGGTTGGCACCCGCCCCTCCCCAGATGTGACCTGACCAGGGCAGAGTTCAGTGGAACTTTAGTAGTTCCCTAGTTCTCAATGCTGTGCTTTTCTTAATGCATCCCAAGACTGTATTCATATCACATCGCTGACTCATAGTGAGCTTCTGGTGCACTAAGGACCCTTGATCTTTTTTTCAGGGTATAACCCTGCCTCTGTGATCTTAGGAAACTCAGTCACAGGGGAAACTGAGAGACAGGGTATCATAGAAAATAGAGATGAGAAGGAAGGGACCTCAGAAATCATACAGGGAACTAATCAGGGGGATGATGGGAGATGGGGAGTCAGAAGGTATCTGGGGGACAGTGGGACAAGAGGATGGGAGTGGAAGAGACATTGGGAAGTAACTGGGCAGGAGGGGATCCAGGGGAGAGGAGCAATCATAGGGAAGACCAAGACACCCTAGGAAGGTCAGTGAATGGGGTTGGGAGGTAAGGTGATGGGGGGATTGTGGGAGTACTATACATCTCTATCACCTGTGCCCTTCGTCCAGCTTTCTCCAAGTAGAGGAGTGCGGGGATGGGTGGCGAGGGGGATTTCTTGTCCTAGTATTTCCTACCCAGGTTTCACCATTTCCTCTGCTTCTTTTCTACCCCCACCCACCCCACCCTACAGACCCTCAATTTGGATAAGTGGGTATGTCCTGCCTGTGGGTGTAACCCATCTGGCCCAATCCCCATTCCCCGGTTTTTGGCCCATACTCTCAGGGGCTCAACGGGTTCAGCACAGCATGCTTCCCTTGACCTGAATCCCCATTGTTCCCCTGGGGCTGGGAAGCCAAGGAGGTAAGGGGGGAGGGGGGGCTACTTCTCGCTCCAGTGGCCTCCCTATCCTCTCTATCCCCTTCTACTCTTCCCTGATCTCACCTCCTGTCCTATTCTTCCAGAGTCCTCTTTCTGCCTTCCTCAGTGCCGTGGGATCTTTCCATCCTTCACTGCATGGTCCTTTCTTCCTCCATCCCAGTCCTGAGTGTGGGCCTGGGGGAGGGGCATGGAGCGGGGTGGACAGGGAGTTCAGGAACCTTAGAGCGTCCTGTGTGGGTAATAAGGATACCACTCCCATGGCCCGTGTAATAATATGGGGATCACATATTCCTAGTCCTTATTACATGATCCATGTGATATGGGATATGACCAGAGCTGCAACTAGGGCAGAGGGATGGGGCTTTGCCCCAGGGTGCCAAATGTAGAGGGTCATGACTTTAGAGAGCATTTTAGCCTTTATCAGCAAAGAAAACATAGAATAATGAGAATAATCAGTTAAACTAAGAAGCTTCCATCTGAGGGAAGGGCTACACCCTACCCCATCCCTAGCATTGCACTTTCTTCCCTCCTCTCTCTGGTTGGGAGTACTTGTCCCAGGTATCAACATTTCCTAGTTATGGCTCTGGGTCTGCCCCAGTCACATGACCTGTGTGAGGCCAGTGTAGCATTAGTCTTCAGCACTCAATTAGTACACTGTGGGACTGGCCTGGGCATCTTGTCTGTGTGATGACAAGGGGGGTGGGGTCCTATGTGACCCGATCACATGGACTCTGGGAAAGGCCAAGCATGACTTGACCCTGATGTTATAATGAGGCATGACGTTATAACGTGTCCATTACCCCCAACCTGCCCTTCCTCCTCAGCCTGATGAGAATGAGGCACGATCTGAGCCATGGGCACAGGAAGAGGGTGTGTGTACATGTATATGTACACACGTTTGTGTATGTTCTGCCCCCCCCCCAATAAACCTGGGGCCCTACCCTAACGTGGAGTGGAGGATACAGAAATGCGAGCCTGGCTCCTAACAGGAGGCAGGCTATCAGCCCAGTCACACCAGCAGTGTGTCATTGGAGACCCAGGTGGGCAGAAAGGCAGCACACTACCATGGACTGAACACTTCCATCCCTCAGCCCTGGACCCGAGTCTCAGCTCTCCCCACAGATTCGCTGTGTGACTTCCTCTCCTCTGGAGTGAAGGGGTGATGGTTTGGAGGGCAAAGAGAGGAAGGACTGGGGGTTCTAAGCTGGGTGGGTGGGGGAGCTCTGTGTGCTCACAGAGATTTATCCCGCAGTCATCTCAGGGCGGGGGACACCGGACACTTCTCTACGGCCACGCCATCTTACTCCGGCATGCCCACAGCCAAATGGTAAGTTACTAGGGGTGGGGGTATGGAGTTAGGAGAGAAGAGGAGGGCGGAAAGGGGAAGGGCCAAAGGAAGCCTCCCTAAAGACTGACTCCCCCTTTTATCTCCCTCCTTCCTCCCGCTGTCTGGCTCTCCCTCCCCTAGTATCTAAGCTGCCTCACGACATCCCGCTCCATGACTGACAAGCTCGCCTTCGATGTGGGCCTGCAAGAAGATGCCACAGGTGGGGGAGGGGAGCTGGAGAGATGCTGGCAGGAGCAGGGGGGGTCTGGGAGGACACTGAAGAGCAAGCAGAGGCTGGGCAGGACAGACAGGGCTGGTGCAGGGGAGCACTGGGCAAAGAAGGGCAGGTGGACCCAGGAGGAGACACTGGAGGAGAATGGTGGGGCTGGGGGACGCTCCCAGTGGTGTCATCTGGCTCCTCCCTGTCTTCTCCAGGAGAGGCCTGCTGGTGGACCATGCATCCAGCTTCCAAGCAGCGATCTGAAGGGGAGAAGGTCCGGGTCGGGGACGACCTCATCCTTGTCAGTGTCTCCTCCGAGCGATACCTGGTGAGAGACCCGGGAGCCTCAGGGGGCTGTCTCTAGTCCTTCCCCATGCCCCGTCTATGGTTACTTGGAAAGCCAAATAGAAATGTACGCCTTTCCCTTCCTGGCCCATTCCTTCCCTGGCGCTCTCTCTCCTCTTTGGTCTCTCTCTCCTGTCCCCATTCCATCTCTTCCTACCTTTCCTGGCCCAAGTTAGGGGGCTGGCTGGTAATTTGCCCTGGTTTCCCGACCCCTGGTTATCCAACCTCTTAATCTCACCAGTTTCCTTGTCAACTCTCTCCTGAACCATTGGGTATCTGACCCTTGACCCCGGTTTGATGATCCCTGGCTTCTGCTTTCCTTCCAGCACCTGTCCACAGCCAGTGGGGAGCTCCAGGTTGACGCCTCTTTCATGCAAACCCTTTGGAACATGAACCCCATCTGTTCTGGATGTGAAGAAGGTAGGGGAAGCCCTGAGATTCTCCCACACCAGCCAGAAATGCCCGAACCTGAGACCTCTGCCCCTTAGCTCCTTCTGTTCAGAGCCACCCATTCCCTCACCACAGGGTACGTGACTGGTGGCCACGTTCTCCGGCTGTTCCATGGCCACATGGACGAGTGTCTGACCATCTCTGCAGCTGACAGTGATGACCAGCGCAGGTCTGGTCATGATGGGGTGCCTGGATACCTGGGGGGTTAGGGGATGGGTATCAGGCAGGACTGGAATCATCTTGGTGATTCAGGGTGGGAGAGGGTTAGAGGCCCAGAGTCCAAGAAATCTTGGGGTGGTGGGTAGACTTAGGGCCCCCAGTAGAAGGGGTGGAGAATGTGGGCCCAAATGCCAGAGGGCCCAGGTATGGCCAAGACTGGTTTCTTGTATGGTGATGGGACTGGGGGTCTGAATGTTAGGAAATCCAGGCCTGGTGGGTCTTGAGGCCCAGAAATGGGGTTTCTGTGGACTAGGGGGATGAGGTCCTGTATTTGGGGGCCTTGGGATCCCCTCTTCTGATCTTCTACCCTTCCCACTAGGCTGGTTCATTATGAAGGGGGTGCTGTGTGCACTCATGCCCGTTCCCTGTGGAGGCTGGAACCCCTGAGGATAAGGTAGAGGGGGCTGAGAGAACAAAAGAAAATGGGGTTTGGGTAGACGGGGGTCTGGGGGACTGTGTGGATGACAGGGGATCCTGGGTGGAGTTTAAGTCTGGAGAGAGGAGGCTGAGGAGTCTTTGGATCTGACGCCATTACTGTGGTCCCCGTCCCCCCCAGCTGGAGCGGGAGCCACCTACGTTGGGGCCAGCCTCTGCGCGTGCGACACGTAACTACAGGGAGGTACTTGGCGCTGACAGAGGACCAAGGCCTGGTTGTGGTAGATGCCTCGAAGGCCGCCACCAAAGCAACTGCTTTCTGTTTCCGAATATCCAAGGTACCAATGATTGGGAGTCTGAATCACCCACACGAAGACCCCTGCTGCAGCCTTCTGGGCCCAAGCCCTGCAGGGAATGGCCTGCCTGGAAATTCTCTGGCTCAATGTCTAATCTGGAGCAAGGCCCTTGCTATCTCTGGGCCTCAGTTTCCTTGTCTGTGAAATAAGGGTGGGGGGTGGCTAGAGGCTTTCTAAGGCTCTTGCTAGCTCTGATATCCTGGGATTCTGTGCCCTCTGGTAAGCTACGCTATTTGCTGGACCTGAAGTCAGGAAATCCCAGGTTCAAACTCTGCCTCAGACACTTGCTAGCTATGTGATTCCAGGCAAGTCCCTTTGTCTCCCTAGGTCACAGCTTCTCCATCTGTAAAATGAAGGGGTAAGATGAAATGATCTCAAAGGTCTCTCCCACCTCTGATCAGGGATTTGAAAGATCATGGATTAAGAATCCCCAAGCCAAACCCTTCGGAATCCCCCAAGCAGGCCCATGCCCTACGTCCCCCTCAGAGAAATACTGACCCCCTCTCTCCCTTTCCCCACATCCCTTACAACAGGAGAAACTGGACACAGCCCCAAAGCGAGATGTGGAAGGGATGGGTCCCCCTGAGATCAAGTACGGGGAGTCTCTATGCTTTGTCCAACACGTGGCCTCTGGCCTATGGCTCACATATGCAGCCCCTGACCCCAAGGCCTTGCGCCTGGGCCTGATGAAGAGGAAGGTAAAGTCCCTGAGAGACTGAGGAGAGAGGCAGGAGCTGACTGAGGGGTAGAATGTGGGGCGGAGGGAGATGGAGAGAACAGCAGCAGAGAAGGTAAGAGAGAGAGGCAGAGGGAAAGAAGGAGGGAGAGGAAAAGGAAGGGAAGAAGAGACAGAGACAGAGACAGGCAGAAAGAAAAAGGCAGCCGAGTATGGTGGGAAGATCCCTGGACTTGCAGTCAGAGAGACCTGGGTTTGAATCCTGTCCCTGAGGATTGCTCCCTGTGTGACCACATGCTTGTCACTTAACTGAGATGAGCCTCACTTTGCTCATCTATGAAATGGGGTTCATGCCTATAGTACCTGCCTCAAAGGGCTATTATAAGTTTTGAGGGAGAGAATGCAAGCAAAGTGCTTTGTAACCCACAGGCAATAGCTACTACTGTGATAGTGATAGCCAAGAAGCACACATATAAAGGGAGAGAGACAAGGAGAGTGACCCATAGAAAGACAGAGAGACAGAGAGAGACAGGGAATACAGACTGTCACAGAAAGACAAAGGGGGAGAAAGAAATGACTGGAGAGATGCCCCGGGAGGGTAAGGAGGTCTGCAGGCTGGAGGCTCTGATCACCCCCCCCACCTGCCTCCAGGCCATGCTGCACCAGGAAGGCCACATGGATGATGCCCTTTCCCTCACCCGGTGCCAGCTGGAGGAGTCCCAGGCAGCCCGGATGATCTACAGCACAGCTGGGCTGTACAACCAGTTCATCAAGTGAGTCCCCCCTGGTCCCAGCCTCCACCCCACCCTGCTGCAGGGCTCAGGCTCCTGGCCTCTATCCCATGCTTCACCTCACCTCCCACTCTGGGCCACTGACCTCAAATCCAAGGCCCCTCTTCTTGGCTCCTTGACCTTGACCCCAGAGCCATGATCTCTTAACCCACCCTCAAACATCTGACCTGTGACCTTGGACCCAGTTAATCCCTCCTGTCAATGCTCCTACCATATACCCAGCTCTGTCACTCCAACAGTGCTGACCCAGCATGCCTCTGGTCCTATGACCATGACCCTTGATCTCTGGTCTCTTGGATTCCTGTTCTATTAATTCCTAACCTTTGTCACTTTGCCCTACCCCCTTATCCCCTTCCCATGCCTTCAGGGGTCTGGACAGTCTGAGTGGGAAGCCCAAGGGGGCTCCAGCACCAGGTGTGACACTGCCCATCGAAGGGGTCATCTTGAGCTTGCAGGACCTCATTGGTTACTTTGAGCCCCCCTCGGAGGAGCTGCAACATGAGGAGAAGCAGAGTAGACTACGGAGCCTCCGGAACCGCCAGAGCCTCTTCCAGGAAGAGGTGTGTGTGTGTGTGTGTGTGTGTGTGTGTGTGTGTGCAGACAAGCATGTGTGTGTGCAGATGAGTGTGTGTGTACAGATGAGCATGTGTGTATGCAAACGAGTGTGTGTGCAGATAAACATGTATGTGCAGATAAGTGTGTGCAGATGACCATGTGTGTGCAGATGTGTGTGTATAGACAAGTGTGTGTTTGCAGACGACTGTGTGTGTGTGTGTGCAGACAAGCATGTGTGTGTGCAAATGAGTGTGTGT